CAGCAGCAGCAACAGCAGCAGCAGCAGCTCCTGTTGCTGCTGCTGCTGCCTCCAAAAGCAAACACATGCAGCGGCACTCTGTAGCCTCGCCATCTCCTGCTGGCCTTGCAGCAGCGGAAGCAGCAGCATCAGCAGCAGCAGCAGAAGCAGCAGCAAGAGCAGCAAGACATTCCCTATCTTCGTTTTCTAGCTCTCGGGCTGTGTCTGCAGAAGGCTGGCAGAGCCATTCTCCAGCAGCAACAGCAGCAACAACAGCAGCAGCAGCAAAAGATGTGATAGATGTCTCAGAGGTGCTGTCACCTGAGACGCAGCAGCAAAACCTAAAAGAGCTGCAGCACGCGCAGCACATCAGCGCTGTTGTCAATGTAGCAGCTGGTCTCCAGGTAGGGTTTAGGATTTAGGGTTTAGGGTTTAGGGTTTAGGGTTTTGGCTTCAGGTTTGGGGTTGAGAAACTAAGATTTAGGGTTTACAAGCTTCCCCATAACTGCATTACTAGGACTACTTTTCCGAACTTTAAATTGCAGAAATGCCTGTAGGGCTTTAGGCTTTAGGGTTTAGGGTTTAGGGTTTAGGGTCTGGGGTTCGTCTGTATTGCGGTGCGCTCGGTGTTGCTGCAGCAGGAGCAGCAGCAGCAGGGTGGGGGTTTGTGGGGGAGCTTCGGCGTCGGCAGCAGCAGCACATCAGCAGCAGACATCAGCAGCAGCAGCAGCAGCTTTGCGCCGTTGCTGCTGCTGGGAGGAGAGCAGCAGCAGCAGCAGCGAAGCAGATCTGCTGAATTCGAGCCATTCTTCGCCTCCCTGGGTGAAGTGCGCTACAAACCCTAAACCCTTGCGAGACCCTAAACCCTAAACCCTAAACCCTAAACCCTTTCTAAACCCTAATTTTTGGTCGCTTAGCGTCAAATCGCGAAACACCGAGCAGCCCACAGACGAAGCACACTGGAGTAGCATGTGCAGCAGCAGCTGCTGCTGCTGCAGCACATGCAGCAGCAGCACCAACCGCAGCAGCTGCTGCCACAGCAGCAAGTGAAGCAGCGAAAAGGTGCTGCTGCTGCGAGTGTAGTAGCCGCAGCAGCAGCAGCAGCAGCAGCAGCTCTCCTCACATTTTACGTGTGCGCTCAAGCCTGTGCTGCTGCTGCTTAGGATCTGGTTCGCTTTGAACGCAGCAGTTCCATCAACAACCGCAGCAGCAGCAGCAGCAGCTGCAGCAGCAGCACCGGAGGGCTTGACTGTGGACGCAGCAGTTCTGCGTTTGATTTGCTGCTGACGCGGGGCGGCGCGTCTCTGCAGCTTTATGAGGAGCAAGAGGGGGCGGAGCAGCAGCAGCAGCTGCAGCAGGTGCAGCAGCAGCAGCAGCTGCTGCTGCAGCAGCTGATGCAGGAAATACCTTCAGTTTTTTTCAGTGCCTCATTTGACGTCTCGCAGTTTCTGTCGATGGACTCTCACCAGCTCTCTGGACAGCTCGAGAAAGTAAGGGTTTAAGGTTTAGGGTTTAGGGTTTAGGGTTTAGGGTTTAGGTTGAAAGCTCCTGGCTTATCGTCAGGGTTTACAAAGCAGCGCCCAGCGAAGAGAGCTTGGGCATTACGTTTGCGGCTGGCTACATCAGGGTTTAGGGCTTAGGGTTTAGGGTTAGGGTTTAGGGTTTAGGGCTTAGGGTTTAGGGTTCAGGGTTTGGGCGCAGATATCGGACTGGCTGGACAAGGTGGAGTCGGGCTTGGTGTCTCACTTTCCCCCTTTTGCTTTTTTTGAGTCTTCAATTCAAAATATAAATCGGCTGCAGCAGCAGACGCAGCACCTTATTGCTGCTTGCAAGCAGCTCAGGTCAGCCAGCAGCAGCAGCAGCAGCAGCAGCAGCAGAAGCAGCAGCGGGGGGGCGGGTGCTGAGCTGCTGCTGCAGTGCCTGCTATGGGGTTTGCTGCAGAGAGGACCTGCAGCAGATGAGGGCTCGCGGCATAGAGTTAGGGCTGAAGGTTCTGTCTCTATCAAAGTGGGTGCAGCAGCAGCAGCAGCAGCAGCAGGGTGCTGGGGGTTTGGGGTTTAGGGTTTAAGCCAGAAAGCCGTCCTGTAGCTGCTTCAGCAGCAGCAGCAGCATCTCGCACTGCAGCGGCGTCGGGCCGGCCCTCGTTCGTTTGCTGTTCTGCTGCTGCGCGGGCTGCGTCACTTTGCTGCTGCTGCTGCTGCTGCTGCTGCTGCTGCTGCAGGCGGCGGCAGCAGCTGTGTGGGGTTTACCGGGAACTGGAGTCGCTGCAGTCCCTGGGGGCCCTTTGCTCTTCAGTGCCGCTGCTGCTGCAGCTGCAGGACTGGCGCACTGCAGCACTGCTGCTGCACAGCGTCGAGGAGCTGCTGTGTCCGGATTTGCTGCGGCTGCCTGCTGCTAGGCAGTTCAAGGCGCAGGCTGAAGGTCTGCTGCTGCTGCTGCTGCTGCTGCTGCTGTTGCTGCTGCGCTGCACGCTGCGGCGACGACGGTGGCTGTTGCGGATGCTGCTGTGGTTGGAGATCCAGCTGCTGTTGAAGATGCGGCAGCGCTGCAGCAGC